GGAGGAGCGTGCTGGCGGGGTGCACTCCCGGGAGCGCCGCAGGGCCCCGCGGAGCGGTGGAGGAGCGTGCTGGCGGGGTGCACTCCCGGGAGCACCGCAGGGCCCCGCGGAGCGGTGGAGGAGCGTGCTGGCGGGGTGCACTCCCGGGAGCACCGCAGGGCTCGGCGCGGCGGTGGAGGAGCGTGCTGGCGGGGCGCACTCCCGGGAGCGCCGCAGGGCCCCGCGGAGCGGTGCAGGAGCGTGCTGGCGGGGTGCACTCCCGGGAGCACCGCAAGGCTCGGCGCGGCGCTGTCCCGGTTCCCGTTCCGGCCGGCGGCTCCGCCCGCCCCTGCCCTTCCTTCCGGCCGGCGGCGCGCGCGGTCCGAAGGCGGCGGGCGGCTCGCTGAGGGCCGGGCCGGCGGAGCGCGGTTTTACCGCTTCCAAGCGAGCTGAGCATCACAGCCTGAAGTGATTTCCCGTTCTCTCCCAAGCACTGACATAGGGAAAGCTGGGTTGTATCGGGGACGGTTTTTAACTAGCTTCATCCTCGGTTTTGTATTCCGCAGCATATTGTGAACAGCGAAATGTCCTCAAAGAAGAAAATAAAGAAGAACCATACCAGCTACAAGCTAGAGGCAAGTTTCGCTACGTAGGGCAGAACTCCAACAGCCGGTGCTGTGGTGTTACAGTGCTGGGAGGAGTGGACTGTCGGGCTGGGCACTGGGGAGGGAGACCTCATGGTGCTGCCAGCTTCCTGACCAAGGGGCTGCAGGGGCAGACACGATCTCTTCGCTCTGGGACCACTGAGGGGAACATGGGCGGCGGCCTCCAAGGTTGAGGCGGGATATTAGAACTTCTTCTGATTGTTGGCGTGGTTGGGCACTGGACCAGGCTCCCCAGGGAAGTGGTCACAGCAGCGAGCCTGACAGAATTAAGGACTGTTTGGACTCTTAGGCACGGGAGTAAGAGTGTGACTCTTGGGGTATCCTGTGCAGGGTCTTGTGGGTCTCTTCCAGTGCAGGATATTCTGTGATTCCGTGTTACTGTGCAGTCAGGGCATTTTCTCTAGAGGCGGATGCACAGGGGTAATGCAGGGCTTGCTTTGCGCTGGGAAGTGCTGTGTAGTCCCTGCTGGGGCAGGTTTAAGGTGTTGATGTGGAGTTTTCTTTTTTCCTTTTAGGAGTAACACAAAATGGACCATTCACTTTCAAACAGGCAAAAGATAAAAAAACAATCTCACAAAAGAAAATTTATAGAGATTTATTTATTATTGGTACTATAATAGAAATGCTGGGGCACTGCTAAGCACTGGTAAAATAAAAAAGCTCCGGAGGTTGGTCTTTTCTGGTTATAATTCACCCTACAGGTATACACAGAAATTAGAGAGGAAAGTCACTCATGCATTTTGTGAATGGCTCACAAGTGTTTCCACAACTGTTTCATAAACTACCCTTCATAAACTTACCCTTCTGCTTTACAGAAGTGTCTCTGTAATCCTTGATTTATAAATTCCACTTTTTTAGTAAGAAGCTACTTTGTAGCCTTTTAGTTTCTTAAGATGAAAGTAATTAAATTGGACAAAGGTGGAAATTTATGTGATATAGAGATGAAAGAACAAATAATTTAATGCCTGAAAAGGAAAAAAACTACAGATCATAGAAACTAGGTATTATGAGTGTTATAAGACTTCTAAACTTATACACTTTTTATGAAATAAGACAAACTTGCAGTGGAATACAGTATCAAATAGCAGAACATAAACATTTTATACCATCACTTCTTTTAGGGGAAAAACCCCATAGCCTGAGACAAAAATATGCTTCAAATCCTTATGTCATAGCTTAGGAGTCAGTATGGTCCTAGCCAAATGCTCTTGAAATTTATTGTCGCATTTAATCTGTTGTACATTCAAAGAGCTGGGTAAACTGGCTGTTAATTTCATACCCATCCAGGACAACAAAGCTGGCTCCAATCTTCAGTGGAAATCACTTCCGCTTGAGGAACCAGATGTTTCAAGGATATTGAAGGTAGCAGAAAGAAATCAACTTGAGGAGCTGGATGATTCTTTCGGTTAGTATTATCTTGAATGCCATTTAATGTATGATTTTCACAAACCAACCACATGGACAAAATACTTGAGGTTCTTACTTAGGAAAAGGTTTTGGTTCTTTGCAAGAGAACGTAATGGAGAGGAGAGACAGATGAGATTTTGTGTTATTTTCTGTAATTTAGTAAGTAACAGGAATAATGCTGTAGTATATGCAAATAAAAGCCAATGGAAAAATACAGGCTATTCCACCTTTATAGTCTGTATGGTAGAATTTCACACATCATAACATTGCACTGTGTAAGAACTTACAGTTAAAAACCAAAGTTCAGTATCTTAACTTATTATTTATTAAATGACACAAATTATGAATTGGCATTTTTACTATTTTAAGAGTATTAATGGTAGCGGACTCGGACATTTGCAGGGGTGTTTTTCTGCCACTTTCAGATGTTACTTAAAAAAAAATATAAGCAAAAAAACCATATATTTTTTGGTGAAGGATTACAATTACTTCCATGCTTTATATTGGAATTGTGTAATGAGGCCTCAATACACAGGAAGAGAATTTAGATGACATAAATGCACCTCTGTGTAGAGTCCTCTGTTGTATCTGTTTTTTGGGTTTTTTGTTTTTTGTTTTTTTTTTTTTAAACCAGTGTGTAATTAGAAGCTGTATAGAAAATGTTAACAGCTATTTCTCAACTGTAATAGTTATTATTCTGAGAAAACTACGGAAATATAACTGTGGCTTAGGAACAGCATTGACAATGAGCTATATAAACAATATAGCAAAAGGGTTGTTTGTACAGCAAGGCTGTAAAAAGGAAAGTGCTTTTCCTTTTCTGTGGTATGTGTTTAGACTGTAAAAAAGGATGCCCACTGACACAAAAATAAATTAACACAAAAGTTTTGTTTCAGTGTGCTTGAAAAGGAAATTTATACTGTGGAAGGCATGCTAAAACCTACATTTTTCACATTTACAAATATTCTGTAGCAGCAGTGATTGCCTTCTCATAATATCCACTAAAGCAGCTTAAAATCTATATTAAAAAAAAGAAAGTAGTTGTTTGAATGTGTAGAAGGTTTACGTATGCCATAGCAAAGAGAGACTTGGAATAAACTGTACCAAGTATTTTGCTTGCTCTATGCCATGTGTACATGCTGAGCTACCTTTGGTTTGGGTTCATAAAGAAATAGCAAGTGGATGGCTACAGAAGCTATGAAACCTTTCACTATATATTTTCCATAATCCTCAAATAATACTTGTAACAAGAACTTCCTTTTTATTAGTTAGCAAACCAAAAATATTCTAACTAAATGCTTAATGGCTGGCAGTGCTCTTCACCATAAAAGATGGGAGCAGTGCTCATACAGTTTATTTTTTGTTCTTTATAGATCACCCTTTGCACAGTACTGCTGTGGATGCTTATGGAGAGGAACATTCACAAAACGAGGCACTCAGTCATGTTTCAGCACCACAAGGGCAAAATACAGACAGACGGTCTGGTGGAAAAAAAAAAAACTTGTGAGCATTCAACTTAATCTTTAGATTTTAAGATTTAAAGGGGAAAGTGTTCTACTTAAATTATACGTAACACAGAAAATTATCTTTTAAATATTTTAATTATAATTTTATTAGTATATTTCACATATGTTAAATCAAATTTGGTTTAAATCCAAATTTGTCTTGCTATTTAATTCAAGCAAGAACTTTAATAGTACTTGTATGAGACATAGCTGTACAAAATGCTTCCCAAAACACAAGGTTTTATATCTGTGGTTGAAGATCATCCTTCCTCAGAGGTCAGTAGTATATGTTTTTCTTTTCCCAGTAAAAAACCACGTCACTCAAAGCCCTCCAATGGTGATGTTCAGAAATTCAACACAGCTGGTGCTGAAGAGGAACCCCTTAAGGAGACTGTGGTATTGAAAAAGTTTCATGATTAGTATCAGTCAATTTAATTTTAGTTTACTTAATGCCATGCCTGCATTAGAGGGTGGGGAGAGAGAAAGACCTTCCATTTGTTTCTCAGTACTTAATTGTATCCAAAATATCAGTCCTCAGAGTATTCCAGTGAGGTGGCCAAGTGAAATGCTTAAAGCTACAAGTCATCGCGTCAACAAGGAATCAAACAGCCAGGTGTTCCTGGATCCTGCAGCCTATTCTCTTGTTCATTTGGGAGCATATTCTTTTCTTTTTCAGTTATCTTCTTTGTATCTAGAATATATGTTCTTGAGGAATGGCATACTAGATGGAATATGAATCCTTTGTACTTGTTTGATATTGAAGCAAAATGGGTTTATGGGGAAAATAATATTGATAAAATTAATTTTGAATATGTGTTAGAATTAAATGCCATTCAGTTTTGAATGAGTGTTTTTGAACACTCCACAATTAGTGTAAAATGCTTTTGGCCCACTTAGCTGCCAAACATACAGCAGGAATCAACTGTCTTCAGGCTCAAGAAAGTAACCTATGATAAAAGAAGCTGTGCAGTAGTTGGAACAAGGGTTTTTTATGTATTGAAATTTATTGAAATTGTACACTCAGTACAAAGTGTTAGTCTTTCATCAGAAGGCTAGATGCATGCAGCACTTTTGTACAAGTGCTCTTGTGGTGTCACAAAGTAGTTGAAGTAGAGAAAGGATTGGGACAGAATGTGGGTGAAAAGGAAGGTGAGCAGGCACTGTTGGCCAGAGTGGCTGCCACTCTGCAATCAGTAATCCTGGTCAATGACTGTGCTGAACCAAGGGTCCTTTAGCTCCTTAGATATCTCCAGCCCTGCTGCCTGGCCAGTGGCTGACAGATCAGTGGCCAGCGTGGTCAGGCACCCACTGTCCCGCAGCAGGTGACCACTGAGCTGGGACTGGTGGAACAGGCCAAAGGAAATGTTGCTGATGCTTCAGTCAGGAAATGCTTTCTGCATTCTGCCTAATTGTCATCTCTCAGGAGTTTAGATGAGTAAACCTGGGGTTTATTCTGGAAATTAATGTGCTTTTCATGTCACAGAAAACTCTGAATACTACTCAATTCAAGGCAAAAAAGAAGCAGTCTTCAGATGAGAGCACATCAGATTATTCTGGTAAAGTACACTTTTTGGAACTCCCATATAGCTTTTCTTCATTAAAGATTTAAATTTCTCAATGGTTTTCATTTCTGGAATGTAGCAACACAGTGCTTCTAGAAATGGGAAGTGTTAATTTCAGTTTTGGTATAGACCCCTGTTTGATCCCCATCATTGGCATCCCTAGACTTGCCCGTTCCTCTCCTGAAGGGTAAAGCATAGATGTGCATTGTAACTCTAAGTCAGCCTGGTTTCCTTTGTGGGGAAGCCTGGAGCTATGGCTGTGAAGCTGTAGGAGGTGTCAGTACATCCCTTGGTCTGGAAGCCTGGAGCAGCAGCTGTGGGGCAGAACTTGGAGTGCCTGTGACTGCAGCACAGGCACAGCTGTTGGTGTAAAGACCTTTGTGACAGGGAGCTCCAAGACAGTGGCATTTTTCAGTAGGAAGAAACTGTCCCTTATGTCATCTTGCTTCCTTTGAACAGAACTCCATGATGTTTTAGTACTGGATTTACACCAGGGAGTGTGTGAAGAAACATGTTTTCACTTTTTGTGGAATTGGTTTATGATGCTGTTGTAAAGTTTAAAGAAATGTATTTGTGTATAGTGGGTTTTTGAAACATATATGGTATTAATAAATTAATGTATATAAATATAAAAGCTCATGATTCTTTGAGTAATGCAAGGTGAAAATTTAGGCTAATGGTTTTTTAACACAAAAAACCAAGTCTACAGTACACTATGTAGTTTATTACCTATTACTGATGTGTTCCTGGGCTTGTCTGATTCAATAAAAATAAGAATTAAGTTACATATAATTTATCATCAGTTCTAAGGTGTTCCCAGGTAAATCTATCAAAGTTACGCATGCAAAGACAGATGAAATAGAATATTCTTCTTCTCAAATTTAATGTTAAAATACTCATAACTTTTAGATGGTTGCTTTGATGATGGGAACAAGAGATTTCTAGTGTTTTACTGCATGTACCAGAATTGTGCAATGTTTATGTTCATTCTGTTCTTCCAGTGGATAGCCCACATTCTGTACAGATTTGGTGTCCCAAAGATCTGAAGAGATCTCCTAGAGATATTACAGAACTGGATATTCTTCTGGCTGAAGTTGAGAAGATAGCAGAAAATTACAGGTACATATTCTGCTTTTCCATGACTGGATAATCAAAGTTTTAAAAAGAAATATCTGTGCTTTTGCTAATGGGCTCTCCTTTAGGGAATCAGTATTGCATGGTTACATTCTGATGTTAATGATTATTAAGTATTTGTGATACAAATGTTTCTTAACATGGTCTCCAGGGATTTCATATTTTTCCAAACAATAACAACACATCTCAGCTGGTATTTTTCAAGGTAGAAATGAAGCTATTGCTAGTATATGAAAGAACTGCAGTTGTGTAGCTGCTTAACTTTGGACTTTATTTGTTACTCAAAGGAGGGGTTTTGAATGAGATTTCCCCTTTACTAAACCAAATATGTTTTGTCCCTCTGACTTCTCCAGACAAAGCATAGAATCAGACATTTGCAGAAAGGCTATCAGTGACTTTTCTTCTGCTTTCAAGGATCAAATCACTGATCTTGTAAGTACACCAGAGATAAAATCAGTTTTGTGGTCAGAATACTGATGAGTTTATATTGCCCTTTACACATTCATTTTACAAGCTGCAAAAGTTTCCAGTCTCTTGTTAGTATAAGTAATGTGAAAAGACAATTTGTTGTGTGCAGGTTGTGGTTGGCTGCCTCTGTGCATGCTTTCACAAGAATTGCCTCTAGACACAACACGGGTCATGCAAGTACTTTGCCAAATTGTCACCTTTTGAGAATAGGGAAGCATCCATTAATCCTGAAATGCTGGCCATATTTAAATCATTATGTAGTAAAACTGGTGAGCTGCATAATTTAAATGAGCATACAGCTATGTCAAACACTGTTTTCAAAGCTCATCGACTAGAGTTTTAAAAGGTGGATTTAATTTTTCTGCTGTCTCAGTGACTTCTTAGTAAGGCCTCTAATGTATTCCAGGGTAAATCATCCTTTTAAACATTTTGAACATAACTGTAAGTGTAAGACATTAAAGAACCATCTGGATACAATCCGGTGCCATGTGCTCTAGGATGACCCTGCTTGAGCAGGCAGGTTGGACCAGAAGACCCACTGTGGTCCCTTCCAACCTGAGCCATCCTGTGATTTATTGGCTGGAAAGATTAAGGTGATTATGATGAGTAAAATGAACTCAGGACTTTGCAGGAGTTGTGCCAAGTGCAATGGCTAAGTACTAAAGCTACAGTTCTGAGTGATTCATTAGAAGTAACAAGTGTTGGAATTGCCAGATTTATACATCTATATAAAGATACTGAAAAATTAAGGTAGGTAGTATTATAGGAATTGGTACAAGGAGTATTATTTGCACTAACTCCTTTTGTGCAACAGTTTTCTTCTGGCATGAGGAGAGAGGAAAGAATCAATACACAACCAGTGATGTCCCTTTGAACCAGGGTTGTTTTTTCAAAAATAAAAACCCAGCTTTTTATATTATTCCAAAGTAATTCTTGCAACCATGTTTTTAAGAGGATAGTGATGAACTCAACTTGTCAACCTCTAATTCTTCTTCTCTGTAGATAGCAGGAGTCCAGGAATTAAAGAATATGAAGAAAAAAAATGCTAAGGTAAATACATATCTATCACTAGATTGTAGAGCATACAGTTGTGGGCATTGAAATGTCAAGAACTTGACTAGAAGAGACAGAATAATTTACAGAAAGGTGTACTGTAGTCAGAATCAACTGCACAGAGGTTAGGGAACCACACAAAGTTTTTTGGAAAAGATCTGAGTAAATGTTGTGGATTGCAAACTCCAGATGTATACTGCTATATTGTGTAAAAAGAATGAATGCACATTAGGATGGGTAAGATCTATGCATGTCAGTTACTCTTGACTTTTTGGTTTGTTTTTTTTTTTAAAGAGTGAGGCCTCTGGAGAGCCAGTTAAATAATGAGCTAACCTTAAAGAAACATAAATGAATATAAAATCTAGGAGAGCAGCAAAGATAGCAACCTTTGAGGATGGAATGGGATTGCTTAATTTAAAGAAGGGAAGATTCAGGCAGCTGCATTCCCTAAATAGATGCAGTTTTTGTTCAGAGGAAAACAGTTCCTCTCTTCATTTATAGCAAGTAGGAATTTGCTGACTATGCAATGGGAATGTTGACAGAAGGAGGCACTAGTGTAAGGGCAGAAAAACATTGCAGTGGTTTCATCAGGAAGAGGTGAATGCCCTACAGAAGAGAGATTTAAGAGCAGCTTAGGCACTGTCTGGATTTCTGCACAAATTAACATCTTCTGCAAAATTTTCAGTGGTGAAATAGCTTTAACAAATAGTCAACATAAAGCTTATCCTGGGAAGTAGCAATTAATATGCTAAGGTCTTGTTGACTTGGGGTGATATAGTAAACTGCTCTGCATGTAAAATGAAAGTCTTAATACACACCTAGCATTGACAGCCACTCCGATTTATCCTTAGTCTGCTTCTTAGACATTTGGTTAAAATTAAGTTTTTAGTTGCTATATTTAAATTTATGATAAATTTTGGGTGGTTTTTTTTTAATTGTATGTTGTATAAAAGAAAGCTTTTTTGGCTATGGCAATCATCCGGAACATACATTTGTATTAATTTTCATTTTTAAACCTAAAATCTCCTAGAGTTCATAAGGTTTAAAATTTAAAAGTCACAAACTCCTTTTGTATGCTTGCAAATCCAATGTCTCTTAAGAAAAAATTTGGGTGGAGATTAGAGTTTGACATTTTAAACAGCTTTAAATTGTTTAAAATACAGATGTAACATATGGCAGTTTATCAGGTCTGGTATCTTAGAATCTTCCACAATGACAACCAGCGTAACACCTCAGAAAAGTAAAAGGCAATGAAATTTGAGTTGTTTGCCTTTGAAATTTTAGGAACTGCTTTACAGACTTTTCTCACTGTTTGTTTCAGGCAATAACAAACATCAAAAAGAAAAGCCAGCAACTGATGCAAGTCAGAGAAGAGCTAATTGGGTGTGTTTCTAATGATGCACAGTAATATCCTGAAGAAGTTAAAGAGTCCGGTATTTTGTAACTCAGAAGGGAATGTAATTTTTTTTCATTTGCTTGTTTTATTTTGATGAAATTACCACTCTTCCTTTTTTGTTTTTACAAAAGCTCGTGATAACCTCTCCTTTACATATTTCAGTTGTCTAGACAGTGATTCTTGCAAGTTCTCTTAGCTAACTAGATACTAGGAGGGTATTTCACAACATATGGTCATTGGAAGAACACCAGTGTTAGGATATGAATTGCAATGGTGCTGGATCATAAATTACAAAGGTAATGCAGAAGACTTCTTCGGTTTTGAGGTGGGAGATTGTATTTCACCTCTGCATGTGGGCAGGGGTTGCTCTGAGTACATGGCTTATTTCCTTCTCATGTGGCCACACAATTCCCCTTCTCTAACTTGGCATTAATCTAAAATGTCATTTAGATACACGACACAGGAATTATGTGGTTGGAGGAACCATTAGACTACCCCAAATCCCTTGGGTTGGTAGTGACAAGCTTTATACTGAAGCTGCATTTAACATACCCTGTAACTTACCCTGTAAGGTAACACTGTAGGGAACCATGGGCTTGGATCCACTAAAACAGGGTAAAAACCTTTTCTCTATGGCCATGAGAGGTGTTTTTCTATGTAGTACTATGGACAAACTTTTCTCAGAGAACTATTTGAAACCCCTGGAAACTGTCTTCACATTTTTATGTGTTGTGTTTTAATCCTTTGATCATTTTTTCCTGCAACCCTGTTGTATGAAAATCACTGTTGTTGCTCAGTTTTTGGAGTGCTACTTTAATGGATCAAGCACTCCAGTTTATTTAGCAGAGGTGTAGGTAGTTTGTAGATTCTGAACAACTGAGCTTTGCAGGCAGGGGTGTGCAGAAGCAGAACACTTTGTATTTAAGAAACTACACTTCAAAAACCTAAATGCTTAAGAAAGAGTGGCTACATTGCCAGACTCGAGAGAGGTTTGGGTATTTTTGGTGGATTTGGACTCATACCCTTGTTTTAAGTACTCTGCTTGCTCTACCTAAGCACTATTCCATAGTAACCTATGTTTTGTATTTCTAACCAACCTTGTAAGAATTCCTTCAGAGGAAATAGGGTCATAGTTATTCATGCAATAAATATGCAGATGTAAGCATAAAAGTCTTGGTCTTTCAGAGCTGAACCACAACTGACACAACTACAAAGAGAATATGCTGAGTTACAGGAAAGGAAATCTTCCTTGAGGCAAACAGTTGAATTAATTACTGATTTAAAGGAGCTACAGCAAGACTGTTTGGATTATAGAGAAGAAAACCCAAAAGAAAAAGTGGTAGTAAGTACATATTCTGCATGTGTTTCAGTTTTCTAAGTGTTTTTATTTTAATTTATGAAATTTATTTATTAACATTCTTAAGTAGAAGTCTTTTGTTAATTGTCTTTGTGGAAGCAGCTTGAAAATCACTGCTGAACTTTGCTATAGTTTGTTCTTTTGGTCTTTCACTTGTTCTTTTGGTATTAGAAGCGAAAGTATTTCAGAGAAGATTCTGCTGCCTTGCTCTCTGTATCCAGAATTCAAAAGAAATAGAAATGAAACTGTTGTCCTTAGTTGTAACTTTTTTACAGAAATTGAAGATTAACAGTGGGACAGAAGTAATTCTTTTTTTGCGTTGTTATTGTTCAAAAGCAGAAAAAGCTCTGGCACTTCCATGTAAGATATTTAATGCTGAGAACAGTGCTGGTATGTCATGACCAGAGTCACTTCTCATGTAGCTTTAGAACCCATTCCTGTTGTACCAAGGACCTGGTGTGGCATTTTCTGTGGACAAGGCTTACACACCTGCCATTTGTAAGGGAAATCCTCACATTTCAGAAGACACTCTAATTTTGGATGTTGTTAACTCTTAAAGGTCATGTTGCTCCACTTTAGAGGAAAAATAAATACTGATATATAAGTTATATTTTCAAAAGTTAAAAATGCTGCCTTGTAATTTTATCTTCTTATCAACAGTATGGAACTTTCAGCCTCCCTGCTCTTCTGGTGGAATCTCGGAGAATTCTAGGAGCAGAAAGGCACTTAGAGAATATCAATATGAAACTGGAAGGGGCTCTGGCTTTACAAAAACAGCAGAAATCAAAGAAAAATTAAGTGTCTTTTTAAGACTTTCAGACATTTAGTAGTCACAGTTATTAGAATTGTCAGTGCTTAAAGCTTGTTTAATCATTGTTACTCTATTTTGTTTCAGTGTTTAAAAGAAGTCAGCAACTTAGAGATTGTATCTTTTTATAGTCCAATATCAAAGAAATGAAATAGTGATCACAGTTAATAAAACTTTTCTGTACTCTGAGCAATGTTGGGTGTTAATCTTATCCTATTAGAGTAATCTTGAAAGGGATATATTCATAAAGAGAACACAGACTCTGGTTGAACAAAGATGAATAAACAAATCTTTTTATTAAATTTACATTTGAAATAAATTATTTCACATCATTTATGGAAATAAGAAGTCCATAAATTGTTGGTTTCTCAATAAAAGTTGGACATACAACTAATAAAATAGAAATTGTACAGCAAAGATCATTAAAGGTGCTAAGCTTGGAGCAGCATTCATAAAGAGTTTTTTAGTCTCTTCAGCCCCCACGTAATCTTCCATGATCCCCTCATGCCTGTTGAAGTTCATCCAGGCACTCCATTCTTTGTCTTACAGCTCTGGAGTGGTGCTTGTGAACCACCCTGCAGGAACTTCCACATCAGCATGCGACACACAAGTGTCATTCACTGCTAGCCAACTGTGCTTAGCTGCCTTCTTTAGTGTAGGGGTCTTCTTTCCTTAAAGCTTCCAAAAGAACTTCATCTGGGATTTCTTCCATGCCATAATTCAGACTGTCATCTGCAGCTTCAGCTAGTTCCACATCTTCAGCAGCTTCTAGGAAATGGGCATCATCACTTGTGTTTTCCCACTCATTGTCTGACAACAGGAAGTCTTGAGACCAGCTGTTCTCTGGAAATACTGAGCTTTTTGACAAGTCTGACACATTAGAATGTGGATTTACTTTTCCTTCTGTGTGCCCCCTGTCATCCATTAGTGTGGACTCTTCCTTTGAAAGACAAGAACACCACTTATTCCATATGCAAATAACTCTTGATACCTTCAACTGCTCTGCAAGTTTGAAGTTTGTGCTGTCACATAGAATGGACACTGCAGAAAGCTGGCCAACACTACAAGATTTTCCAGCATATTCATATATAGCCACATAACCTGTGGAAGCCTATTTTAATAGGAGTAGAAATCCACTGTTTTCCTAGCACCCTACACGTAACCTGTTGAATACAGCTTCATAAAATAATACAAGGTTAAGACTAACTTAAGTGTCTGTTCAAATATATTGTCAGGACCTGAAAATAGAGTTAAATGACACTTTCTAAAAAACTAATAGCTATTGATGAGCTGCTTGAGTAGAGCTTAACTTGCCATTCTGCTGTATGATATTTAGAGCTGTACAGTTAAAAGTTGAAAAATATACCAATTCTTATTGCTTAAGCACTGGAAAAACTTGTATGTTCAGGGTGTAGAGTCTAGGGTGCAGTTTCAGGTCAGTTTGAATATTCTGCTTGTTTGGGGAAACATGCTGCTTTAGTACACTAAAATGGAGATAAATTAATTTCAGAAATGAGGGTTGCTGACTTACATTTGACTTTGACTGACTCAAGAGTTCCAGAACCAGTTCTGTTTTACCTTGCATGCACAGGAGAGCTAAACTAGGGCAGTTTTTCTGTTCTGCACCTGGAGCAGCCTTGTGGCTTAGACATTGGGAACTGCTGATCACATCAGAACAGAAAGTCTTTAGTTCCAGGTGAAGTTGGACAATTCCAGTAACTTAGCATTGCTGGAGAACTTAAAAATGAATATATGGAACTACCACACCAGCACAGCTGCTCTGGGGATCTCTATACCACTGTAACAGTGTGTGGCACTCTCCCAGCACACTGGGATGTTTGTGGGACTATCCATGGACTTCCAGAGCCTCACATGAACTTAAACGTCTCAATAGGACAAAAACATACCTCTTTGAAAAGAGAGGGGAGGCATATCCCAGGTGGCAATGGAAAACCTAAATCAAATGTAAGACATTAATTAAAGTTAACATTCCAAAACTTACTAAGTATAACTGAGATCACAGGCTACATACTTTGAGATTTGAAGTTTTGTTCTCTGCAGACAGGATCATGACACTTTTGATACCAGACTTCATTCTTTAGATCTATGAGAATCCTAAGAATGAAATTATTTAGTTTTTTAGTAACAGTACATAAATTAAGTGAATTCATGTGGTAGGAAATTCTAATACTAAATGAACAGGTTTTGTTTGTCTTCAGCTATGGACATTGCTTTCATATTCTTGGCATACTTACTACAAACTTGTTTTGTACAGTTTTTAGTAAACTTCAGGCTTCTTAAGTTTAAAGAAATAAATTTTTAAGACTAACATATGAAAGTAAATTTAGTCAATTTCATTACATTAAGCTTGGAAGAGAAAGTGATCAAATTAAGATTATTATATGGGACTTAAGATTTTGTTGCTGCTGCTGTTACAGATAATTTCATTATAAAAGCCACATAAAATCACTCTTTTCTGTCAACTGAATAGGCCACCCAGCTTTTTCAACTGTGCTTTAGAAACACCAAACTTCAAGTAATTCACTTGAGAAACAGCAAGTTGATCCAGCTGTGGGGTGCTTTTCCTTGCTATATTGCTAACTTGTTTCTCAGGAACGCATTCCTTATGTTTCAGTGGTTTAAAATGTTACATAAAATTATTTTAAAGTTTAAATATTTATACTAATTATATACTGTAATTCTAATATAATCTAAAAAACTGACTTTCCATCATTTTTTTTGCTAAAACTATAGGAAGTCTGAATCCTTGTAGAGTCACTAACAAAACACATCTTGATTCATGTGGCAGGAATTACCATTCTAAAATAGCAATTCGCAATTATTATAAAATGACAGAGTAATTTGAATAACATAAGAATATAATTTAGGAAGCACTGTAAATTAGTTTAAAAGCAGTCTGCTTGCTTTCTTATTTTCAGCTTCCTAGCTGGGAAGTATCAAAACATAGTACTGTTTAATAGCTTTAACATACTTTGACTTTTATTTTAGCATCTTTGGGCCCATATTTTAAATATTGTGAAGATTACTTCGTAGAATTATTAGAAATAAAAGTCCAGTTATCACAAAGTAAACTTGCGGAGGGCATAAAGTGTTTCTTTGGTTTTGTGGGCTTTTTTTTGTGATTAAAACATTGTATCACCACATAGCAAGGCAGTAAAAACTGTAACAGTTGCTGATTCTATCCATAACAGTTTTTTCAGCATTTCTAGAGAATATCAGTTGAACAGGAAAATAACTAAAGCTGTTTCAAACGGAATAGTTAAAGAACATACATTATATTGTTACTTTTGTGAGCTCTTCCAATATTTTCACACCAACGGTAACCATAAATATCATAAATAAGTAGTTCTTTGAGAGAGAAGTAACTCCACTGTCGTATCCCTGAGGAAAAAAAAAAAATATTTAAATTCTTTTGAAATAGTGCTGCAGAAGACTCATTTGTAAACAGTAAGGTGGTCTCTTTACCTCCTTGTAGTCCATCTTTATTAACCAAAGAATGAACAAAATTATCAATTTCTGGATATGGTGAACCCTGGTAACCTTCCATGGGATCTGTTAAACCAAAGGTCACAAACATACACTGTTAGAGGGTTTGCCACTGTAATATGCCATTGTAACACTTACACTTTATATAGACCATAGGCAGAAAATGTACAGGAATCACATCACACTCTTAAATAAAAGCAGGGATAAAGCCACTGTTACTTTCTTGTAGATCTTTAAAGTGCCACCCCCACCCCCAAGGTGCAGAGGGAGCTGGGACAAAGCAAGACAGTTGTGGTTACAGGAGGGGAGGGTCAGTGGCATTCAGATGCTGCAGAGCATCCTTCAGTGCAAATATATTCTGCCTCCTGCAGAAAGGCAGCTGATGAAGGGCCCTCCTAGAAATTACCAGGTGTACAAGTCACAGAACACCTGAATTGCAAGTTTGGGGTTTTTTTTTCTATGCAGTAGAAAAGGTTTGAGGTACCTCTGCTGCTTCTGGTAGTTTTGCTGTTTAAAAAAGCAGACATTTTTCTCTCCTCTGAAAAGCCAGATGATAGAACTTTTATGTCATCACTTGCTCTAAAGAACGGGGAGAATACAAAGAAAAGAGTATTATTCTTACAGCATTACACAGTACAATATAACTCCCTGTAACATCCCACAGGGTGGCACAACATGACACAGCCCTGCGCGCAGGGGTGGGCCAGGAGACCTCCAGGGGTCCCTGCCAACCTTCACCAGCCTATGATTCACTGTGCACCTTTCCCTGTTCCTGGAGCACTTTTCCCTTCTGGCCTTGGCAGTTTCCCTGATTCCCACCACAGGACAGGGGTTCCTCCTCCCCAACAGCAACATTTGGTTCCTGGCCAAAGTCTCAGGACCCACCCATTTAACAGCTGCTGGTCCACACTCCTACAGCAGGATGTGCTCTAGATGTAGTATTTATGCAAATATACCCTTTGGAAGGTTTAATTTTCTTTTTTTTTCTCTCTACAATGAACTGCTTTTCCTTGCTATATTGCTAACTGGAAGCCAGATGATAACAGAAGTCTAAATTCTCATCCATATTTATGGTGGATTCAGCTGATGTCTATGATCTGAATACACTGTGTGGTTTACTGGCATCAGTTCAGAATAATAAACATTTCAGGACATAAAACGTGAAGTCAACAAAAATATGCTTTCAATAAAAATATTAATCCTATTTTAACCTTTTTGCTACAGCAAATGATTAGGATCTTCTCAAGATAAGGTATGTCATATCAGAGGTTTAGATTAAATATAGAGAATTTGATTATTGTCTGTACAAGTACCCAGCCTACAGAGGGGTCTGTATCATCAAATGGGAAATCTGGTATGCAAAAAAACACAGAGAGAAACCCTTTGTATTTCTTATCCTACTCTGAAAATTATTCAGACTTCTTACATTTAACTGACTAGAAATCTGTTAAGTTTTGCTTCCAGAACTACACAAAAACTAACCAAACTTAATAATGGTTATGTTTTGGCATTTTGAGTGTGTATAGAGAAATGAGGCATAATTCAGAGGCTGTAACACATTTGAAGGCAGGTTTAATGAAAGAACAAGACTCCCAAGAAATTTTTTCTTCAAACCAAGAAATTCTACCAGGAACTCCTAAATTACACTGTAACAATGTTGAATGAATAATTGCTTATTCATAATTTTTATTTGTAACTGCTACAGGAGAATTATCTTTAAAATAGATATTTAAAAATACTGTACATTTGACTGGAATTAAGTAATTACCCAACATTGCAGATTAGAGAGGAAAGAAAATATGCTTCTTCCAAGGAAACACTCTTTTCACAGTTGGGAACAAACTTATTATCCTCTGCTATCTTCAGAATCACATTTTTTCCTGCTTTTGATGACTTATACATCCGGAAATTTCTATTCTTTGTATAAACTCCTGTAGGGAAACAGATATTTCTTAACAGGGCAGTGCTGGCTAAGATACTGAGCTGGAACTAAGATACTGAGCACTTGTAAATTAAACAATTTTCCTTAGGTCCAGCTAAGAGTCTAATGAATGGACAAAGTCTGTTACTGACTGGGTCACAGCCCATAAAAGAAATGCAACAAAGCAATATCATGCACACATGTACAGCTTTATGTTAACAGAATAATTAAGAAAAATGCTCAACACCTCTACATAGGCATTTTAATCATTCTGACATAATTGTTAGAAGTTTCCCTTCAATACAAGGAATTGGTTCTTTCACAATAACCTTGTGAAATACAACTGAGCCCAAAAACCTGCACAATTATTTTAACCAGAAAGAACTTAATCAAACCTTCTGTTTTCTGTGGATTGCTTCATAACTTGTCTGAGGTATGTATCAGGAAAGCTTAATTCCAATCTCAAACAGCAAAACAATGATCAGGTATCTTAACATTGCATAATCTATCTAATGATTGATTGAGAAAGTGAGTTTTATTTGCAGGTTGCATTTGACTTTCATGAATAGAGAAGCACTTACGGAGCTCATACAAGAACACAAAGCTTTCTGTCACTGCAGCCTCATGATATAGTTCAGGAGTTCAGCATTTTTGACTTTAGCTTTCCAATTTTGAGGTAATGTGTATAACATAAATATTGAGGATGGATGGTTAATTATGGGAAACTAACATCAAATTCTTAAAAAGTGAGACGGGAAACAGATTGTTTGATTTAAATTCCATTCACAAATATGCTTTTAAGAATTTTGAACAGCAGGTGACAGTAACCCCTCTGACTCAGTAACAGGAAAGCCTACTGTAGCCAACTTTGGGATTACACTTCAGTAGATCAGGCATACTGAAGAGGCCCACAATAAAAGTGATCCTGAATATTATGAGAAAAATTTGAAGGAATGGGGGTTCTTCAGACGAGTCCAAAGATAAAGCCCAAAGTAAAGTCCTGAAATATGTAACACAGTGCTATGCAAAAGCATACTATTTTTATTTTCCTGAGATAAGGCAAAAAGAAAAAAAATAAAAAAGGAAAAACAGATATGGAGTCCAAAAAGGGCGGAACTTTTAAACTCTACCCATAACACTATGGGTGTTACGCTTCTGGAGATTTGTAACATTTTAATATCCTGAGCAGGCTATGCCCAGCTGGACCATGAGGTGCCTAACCCAAAATTCCTATTATTCCATCACTGAAAGCTAACAGCTGCCATTCCAAACAGGGAAAGGCTCAATTCATACATGTAGAAGAATACAGAAAGCCATGCCAGTAAGACTCGTTTCTTTATTAAGCAGCTTCTAATTCAACTGAAATAACAAAAATGCAGTATATGCTATCCTTTTTCAATCCAAATTGGAGCACTGAAGCCTTAAGGATAGAAAAAAATTAGTCTTGTGTGGAAAGAATTACTTTAAACTTCAGAACAAAATAATTAAATGTAGTAATATAAGAAGTTCCATAGACCATGAAGTTAAGGTTCCTTTAAAAGTATAGCATTTATGATAACAGTTCCAGCATACATTTAAAGACCATAGGGACAACAGCAATTGAAGATTAAGGAACATTTCATTCTTAACCTTTGTTGCATCCCAAAGGGGGTTAAAAACACTTATACTTGCCTAGATCCACAAAAAGCTGCTTGTTGCCTTCTTTATCCTTTACTATTAGGAAGGAAAAATCCAAATTTTCTCCCTGGTGTGGCATTTCCATAGCCTTTGTTTCATGAGCAATGGCTGGCCCATCTTTAGAATCATCTTTAACAGTTGTGAGGTTTGTAAGAGAACCATCTAATTCAGGTCCTGCAGAACACCGGAAAACATTCTCTGCTTCTTCTGTTGGAATCACAACAGCCCTGCTCTCCATTAATCTTATGGCAGGCTGCAAAATGGTTCTCACAAAGTTACCTTAAAAACAACCAAAAAAGGTCAGAAGCAGATGACATCATTTATGAGTCAAGAAAGAACGTACAGAGTTTCTGTGCAAACAGTTTTCAAAACAGCCAAGATGGAAGTGGTTGAAGTTTGGGGTATTTTTAGCCCATCTGGATTTTTAAAAAGAAATCTTTTGACCAGCCCACTGTGTAAAATTGTTCTGGCCAGTGACTGAGAAACCAATGCCTCACAAGAATTTGTACTAGATGTCTTTAAGAAAAAAAAAACAACCCTAAATACTAACAAGCTAAGATTTAGAATTTTAATAAGGTTGTGATTGTCCCCCTCACTACTGCTTTCCCTAATTTCACTTTCAGAATTATTGAAATGTTTACTTGCAGCTTCATGGTGTATTTACTGATGTAAGAGCTTGACCAAAGCTTATTCAAACAACAAATTACTTTTACAAAAGTATTTTGTAATGACTTTTCAAACTCCCAGTATTGTAATTCAATTCCCACTGGACCTCCAGGCTCTGCTAGATGGTAACCAAAGACAGACAAATACAAACCATGGCCAAATTAGTGCTAGGGTAAAGCAAGCAAAGAGAATAAATACAGCACATTGCATTGTGGGGAAAAAAACTACAAAGTGGAAGGAATACTGGCAAGGATGCTTCTGCACTTGTTGGATGAAGCTTCCACAGGGAACATGAATGAATATGAAATACTGTTTCTCCCATGCTACATATCAGTGGAATGACTCAGCATATCAAGCATCAAAATCATCATCTTCATAATTCATAACAGGACTACTGGGACACACAAATGAGTCAAGACAACCCTAAACTGGCAATTCTCTGTGTTGGGGTTGCAATTTAAATTGCTTTCAGCTTTCTCTTAAGCATGTTTATGCACAGGTGGCTTGAAATCATCTTTGTCCTGCCTTTCTGACAATGTGCTGAGCAGAAATTAACTGCATTTTGAGCAAAAACCAGCAGCTTTAATTGTTTAGAGTGACATTAATCTGAAAATTAAGGAGTCATAGACTTGCCAGTTTCATAGAAAACAGTATTTTTGTAAATAAAACATACAGGCACAAAAATTACATTTTTGCAAACACACATGCTAATTATTGGAAAAGAAGGTAGAGGATGAGAAAAAATGAGGCTTAATGAAATAGTAATTATGTTTATGCTGGGAATACATATTTGTTTCCACATATAACTCCATTAAAATAAATACTCATATGGGAGATGGCACTGTATAAAGTCAAAACTTCACTTTTTATTTCTAGGTGTAAGAGAAAAGAACACACTTACCAATATGAGTGTTATCCTTAAATACAGTCTTTTCAGGTAGAAATATTAAGTGCCGACTAAATTTTTCCTCAGTACTGGAATCCAAGTTCAAGACATCTTCTGATGAACAATTTACATCATAAAATTCTTTTAATTTTTGGCTGACAAGCTGAAATTATACACATTAATTATGTAGTTTTACTCTAGTAGTTGTATCTATAAAACCTAACAAATTCAGATTCTACATTTTTCTCAAGGTCTTTTTTTCCCTCATTTTGAGCATACAAATAATTTAATTCAAACTAATTCATATCAAGTTTTAACCAAGTTTGACTTAATAGACTTTATTTCCTTAAATACACAAGTCACTTAGCTAACAGTGATAAGCTGAGAAGACTTTCAGTTTCAAAGTCAAAGTCTGGTTAGGAGGCTTTACCCTGCAGGTTGTTTTCCGCCACAAAGCAGTTCCCACCCACAGTGACAATGTTTGCAATGCAGACTCACCAGGAGTGGAAGATAGAGGCTGTCATGACATAAAGGACTGGTGAGCAAATTCACTGTTATGATTTCGCTAATTCATTGGTACGGCCCAATGAACAATAGCAAAGCAGAAAACAGATTTCACTCTAAATTAGCTCGTAAAAAACCTTTCATAAACCAAGTTAGTGATTACTCATGTTTAGGACTGGGACTCAGAACCTAATGATCTGGAAGCTTTGGGTTTTAGCAGCTCAGATTCCCCACCCAGCAAATCCAAAATCCTTTTCTTAACCTGAGGAGTCTCTGTATTTCAGAGTTGATTCACAATGGATAAACCCCTCCAGATGCTGTATCAATTAAGGGCTCTTTATGAAGGAATTACATCAATAATCTTTTACTTTTGTTCACTTCTAGCTAGAGACATGTAGGTGACAGAAGTCTCACAAACAGACAATGAGATCTTATTAAAACAGAAGATATTCTTCTAAAAACATATGAACGCCATATTGAACTTGCAGAGAGCTAATTTACAAAAAAAAATGCAATAAAATAGAAACTGCACTATTTAATAAAATAGATAATTAGTAAAGGTATTTAATTTTAAGTACCAAATTGGTAAATGCAGTCACATGATGCTCTCTACATCATCATTTAACTAAATTATAATGAACTGTCATCTAAAGAAACTTTCAGGAGAGATTAATCTAAGCTTTGATACACAACTGCACCATTAGGCAAAGGGAATGAACTAAGGAACATATGAATGGAACTTTTATTGATGCTACTTTAAAGAGTACCTAAACATTCCTCCAGTTTTACAGCTTTGAAGTGGCAGAGCACATAACACAATCTTCAAAAGCAAACCTACCATGTCAGTAAACCTACCACCAATAAAAACAGTCCAACAGCCATCATTCTTTATTTTTGTCTTTCAATTAATTTTTTTGTCTCACTTAGACTAAGCCCTTGCTTTAATTAAAATAGTATTTTTACTTAATTAAAAATATACACTGGTTTTGCAATTATTTTAATTTTACTATCAATATAAAGTAGTAAATACTTTGGTTTCATATTAAATTAACAACAAATTCATATTTATCCACAGCATGACTTTGCTCCAGTTTACCTCAATTAACTTCATGACCATACTCTTGCCATCTGCATCAGGATTTGCTGGTTTGTAAAACTCCAAATCAAAATAAAGCTTGCAAGGTTCTTTTTCAGGAATTACTTCATAGCAATGCATAAGACTTGTTTTACAACCTTGGCTAAGGAGAAACAAAAACAAATCACAACCTCTCATGATAAACATTATGTGCATGATAAACAGGCTTATCAGTTGCAAACAAGGATCCCATATATTTCATTCTGCAATCAACCATCCATATTTTTAAAATGTAGTAGCACTATAATGCTTGGAAAAATTTGTAACTAACATTAGCATCAAGTATTAGCAAAGATTGTCTGGCCTAGACTTTTAATTTTGTAGAGTACTCTCCTCTCCACAACCCCCCAGTCTTACAATACATACAGAAATGTTGAGAATTCAAGGAACTATGAAAACTACAGTAAAAAACTTAAGTCATCACTTATATGTCTTTAGCACAAAAATATGGATTTTTTTCTAACTAAATTAAAAAAATAATCTCATTGTCAGTTTCACAAAAAGATCAGGCTTTAAATATAAAAACTGACTCAGATTTCTTTCACTCCATAGCCAAATGTTTTATTGTAAAAGAAACAAATGGGAGAAAAACTTCAGTACATGACTGAATTGTCAATACTTGGAACTACATCATGCAAATGCAAACCCATAAATCAGTTTCCAGACATCTGCATTAATGCCCACTGAAACTGGTGTATGACTAGTCAGAAAAGTATGTTTTTGTCATGTGTTGGTATGATCCCCTGAGGAAAGCTGACAGCAAAAGCAAATCTTCTGTTAATAAATTTCAGTTCAGTAGACAGAGTACTTAATTCACAGGAAATAATGGCAACCTGCTACTCAAAAGTTAGTTGAAACTCACTATAGAATATATTGTTTTGTCCTCATGAAGATTTTTCCCATTGCCAAGATAAAACCTCAGGTAACCCATTACAGCTCTGTGCTACTCAGAGCAGCAGATGGCTTCTGGGAATGCCTATCCAGTGATAGCTCTTACTAGCTGTGATATCCAGTATACCACTAACTTCTACTAACACACATGGCACCTTCTCAAATACTCACGTGTAATAAAACCAAAGCTCTTCATACGTTGTCACAAGGTAAAACCTCTGTCCAGTCTGTGTGTTCTTTTCCAAAGCAAACACATGAACATCCTTTTTAAATAAAAACATGGAAATTTTTTTTCATTTTATTTTAAAAACCAGTTTAAATCTATATAAGTTCCTGCTTGGCATCAGTTAAAGGTTAGTAAATACTAGAGAACTATAAACAGATACTTTTCCACACTCAGTAGCATCTAGTTTTAATTTTGAACATAATTCTAATTTCATTTACACAGGTAAAACTGTGAAGCTCTTCTTTGCTATGCAGTAATGTAAACGGTTTTCTCTTTGAACTCTTGTTTTTTTCTGATCAATATCAAGTGCATCTAAAGGGAGGAGGAACAATGTCCTGAAAGAAGCAGCCTCATGGACATGATGGCAGTATAAGCTTTATGGGCAAATATTCTTCAGACATTATGTTGTTTAGATCCAAAAATAGAAATCTGATAAGAAAATAGAAAAAAACCTACTGCCAAGCCAGTGAGAACCCATTTTGGAAAAGAGGCTGTTAGGATTACTTAAATACCTGAAACAGGTATGGAGAAAAACACAATACTTTCTTTTAAAAGAGCAATCAATTTAAAAAGTGTTAAACTGAAAACAGAGGATACCTTTCAAACAATTTTTATTTGGCTAATCACGTCTAATCATCTGAACTTGCTACTCAGATGCCATTGGAGAGTTGTATTGTTTTTATTTAGTCTCTGCCTCTTCTTTATCTCTTTTTCTTATCAATTTTTCCTCCTCTTTCTTCCTACTCATTCTCACTACCTTCCCATTCTCCTGCCCACCCTGACAGCTTGTTCATCTTGAGGAGGAACAAATTTATCACTACAATGTTCCCAAAAAGCACTTTTACTGTTCAAAGTCAACACCACATATCAACTTGTATGTTAGAACAGAACTAGTACTTCTTAGAGATACTTCCAGTGCAACATGACCTACAAAGACAAAAAAAACCAAAACTTGCTCTTTCAGGATTGGGAATAAAAAGATCTTGTAAACTGATAAAGATTTCATTCCCAACAGCAATTTTAAATGATGTTCAATCTTGAAAGTATATAAAGAGTAGAGACATTCACCTAACACGTAATATACCTCTTGGCAGGTTTTTACATAAGAAAAAGCTTCAGCCTGTCGTGAAAATATTTTCCAAACAGAGGATGGCATAGAGGGTTTGGAAAGTCTTGGTCTATAAACTGTAGGAAGAGGATTTCTTTCATAGTGAGATGCTAGTTCTTCCACCTTCTTCAGTCTTTCTTGCCATTTTCTCTTCATTTCTTCTAAAGCAATTACAGATAGTCAAATCAGTATCAATCTGTTTGCAAGGCAATTTTAATTTCAATCTATCCTGTACTCCTCACTGCTTTTGATTCTGATTTTGTTGAATGTAATTTATTAATTAACTGGGAGTAGCCAATGTTCCAAATCAACACCTAACCTTGCTATGATACTCATTTTAATATTAAATGTCTCTACACTGTTTTGGGAGTACAAAAGCTTCATATTAACACTTATCAAAGATAAACACAACAGAATAAAGACAGTGAAAGAAGGCCTAGGAATTTTCATTTCGGTCTACAGAATGGTATTACACTCCTCAGAAAGTATACAAACTGTTGACTAGGCACATAACGTTAGTAAGGAGTAAAATAATACTAAAAGTAAAAAAATATTTTTCCTTTATGGTTGAGGAGACAAATGAGATCATTTCTACGGGTAGTATAATATTTGAGTTCATAGGAGGAGTTAAGACTTCAGTGACTTTAGCTCTGAGCTCTGTATCTTAAAGTATAAGAAACGAAATCCAAAATGAGAGTTCCATTCTCCATGCTGGCCTTTGCTATTGATCACTCATACTTTCACCTGCTTTAAAAGCTCATGTACTTTTCACAACCTTACAGCAGCAATCTTATCTCTTTTCAAGAAATAGAGCCATGCAGTAACTCTTGCTATCTTGCAACCTTTAAGTTTCCAGTCCCATAAAGTAATCCAAATGATGCAGAGTAATGTAGTAAAGCATAAACACATTTATGTACAACTATCTGTAAGTGGAACACCAGGAAATCAGTAAAAAGCACTGCCAGGAAACTGTGAAACAGAGGAAGAGAGGCAAGAAGTAACAAACACAAAGGGGAATCTTCTTGTTCTGCCCAGCATAACCACTTCATTCTTCTAACAGCTCCTGGGCTGCAGTGAAAGATAAAAATGAAACTGAGTGTACTCAAAGGTATTCAAACCTTTAACAAGCTGGATCCACAAGGCAAATTTAAGTATTTAAATATTCTTGTGGAGCCCTGAAGCCCAAATTTTAGATCCTCTCATTTCCCCCTCCAGGTTTTCCATAGCAAATCTTCCTGGAACAGTTACATTTCTGCCCACTGTTGAAGCCTGCCAATGTCTTGATAGTCAGTGCCTGAATGAAGTCTAAGTAACAGAATGTTTTTTCTGTAACAGGGGTCAAACATATTACCTCTATCCCCCTTGTCCATCTTCTGACCTGTGCATTTTCTTCACTCCTTTTCTATACTCTTAGTTTCTTCTCTGGGAATTAAAAGTTAGATTATAGATAGCAATCAGCATTTCTCAGAAGTGCTAACAAAACTTTCAGTTTCATTTTGGCGCTGCTGGCTGTAAATTAACTAGGTGCAAAAGAAATCCCTACATCAGCATTTTCCCACAAGGTGACCATTAAAAAATGAAAGCAAAGGAGAAGCCCCATAATTCTTTATTAATTTTAAACTTTCTAGTTACATTAGGCCGTATTTTTGCAGAAACACAGCTGGGAGGACCTGAACCTGGGAGAAGAGTGATGACCCTTACTTTCAACTGAAACTATCATGGTTCTTGCAGTCCAAACACTCGATATCTCAAGAGTCCAACATGTCAAGTCTTTTCAAGGCAATTTCAATTCCTGTGTGAGCTATAACACAACACATCTACTTAGAGCACATACAGTTAACACAGATCAGCCTTCTGAGTTCACTGGGAAATTCTCACTTCATCTTCCTCTCTTATGTCCCACCAGAAGTAAGGGCAGTACTTATTTTTGTTTGACTTGACTGAAAGAAATCTTGTCACAAACATGTTTGGACTTCAGTGTTATTGACTCAGCAGGATGACTGCATGAAGAGCCTGGAAAAAATGTCTCCTGAGCAATGATTTAAAGAACTTGCTGTTTAATTTTCTCTATTTTATGGAAGACTATTCTCCCTTTACTTCTTATAACAGCAAAACGTATTACACACACCTGCAGCTCAGACATGCAAATCAACTGCTACTCAAAATAACATTACACTTGTTTCCTGGCTGGTGTGTACCATGCAACATAGTTCTATGGCAGAGTTCATGGTCCTTGACAAAAATAAATCCATGAGATTTTCTCCCAGCTACTGATTCAGCCTTAGAAGAACACATTAAATTCCTTAACATTAGTGAAAATTAGCTATCCTTACATTCATCTGATGAATGTCACATTAACAAACGCTACTCATCTTCCCAATAACAAATGTTCATCTTGCCCTCCTAATAGAGGAAGTGGCCTCTACATTTACAGAATCACAGGATGGCTCAGGTTGGAAGGGACCACAATGGGTCATCTGGTCCAACTTCCCTGCTCAAGCAGGGTCATCCTAGAGCACATGGCACAGGATTGTGTCCAGTCAGTTCCTGAGTATTTCCAGTGGGGAAGACTCCACAACTCCTCTGGACAACCTGTTCCTCAAATTAAGATTGCAAGTGCAAAACTCAGTAGATCAGACCTGGTGATAAGACCTGAAAAAGTAGGTTAGTACCTGTTATCAGAAGCTGGAATACATAGCTTCCAATGTTATCTGACTTCTGATACTGAAGGTCAGTGTACAGATATGAAACTAACTGACCTGAAAGTTGATGAAGCCAAAATCAGGCCTCAGCGTCAGAGCGCTGTTGTTCTGCGAGGCAGGTCTGTGGGCAGCCAGGGACAGCCACCACGCAGGTGGGTGAAAACCCTGTCCAAGGGAAGGTACTGCCATGGTACAAGCCAGCTCATCCATGGGGATCTCGCTCACTGAGGTCAAGAGGGGGGGCTGCTCATTTAGTTATTGTCCCCACAGATTGCTCTAGATGGCCATTTCCTTTACAAACCACCATTCTGTCAGAATCACAGAACAGTCTGAGTTGCCACCGCCAACAGTCACACCATGTACCTGAGAATGTTGTCGAAATGCTCCTTGAACTCTGTCACACTTGGTGCTGTGACCAGTTCCCTGGGAGCCTGTTCCATTGCCCAACCACCCTATGGGTGATGTACCTTTTCCTATTATCCAACCTCAACCTCCCTTCACACATCTTCAGGCTGTTCCCTCAGGTCCTGTCACTGGTCACCACAGAGAAGGATCAGTGCCTGCTCACAAAGATGCTGAAGACCACAATGAGGTCGCCCCGTAGCCTCCCCTTCTCCAGGCTGAACAGACTAAGTGACCTCAGCTGCTCCTCCTATGGTTTCCCAACGAGGAAATGCCCTTCACCATCCTCAGGGTGCCCAGAACTGCACACAGCATTTAATATGAGGCCGCACCAACATGGTGTAATATACTAGAACGCTACATTTGTTTCAGCAGGCAGAGGAACTCAAGCAACAGCGCATCGTTCACACCCAAGAGCAGCAAGGACAGCCGTACCCGGCTCAGCGCTCCGAGCGCGGTGGCTCCGCCACAGGGCCCGGCCCCGCGAGCTCTGCCAGCAGAGCAGAGCAGAGCAGAGCAGCCACCCCGTGCCTCCCCAGCGCGGCCTCGCACGTCTCCCTCCCGCCGGCAGAGCCCGCAGAGCCCGCCGAGCTGAGCCCGCCGGGCCCGCGCCGCTCCCCCGGCCCGACTCACGGCCCGCGCCGCCGCCGCCGCCGGTGCGCGCCGCCCGCCCAGCGCGGGGCGGGGCCAGCGCGGCGCCGGCGGGCCGGGCGGCGGCGGCGGGGCTTTATGTGCTCGGGGCAGCGCTCGGCTGAGCGGCGCTCGGGAAAACGCGGCTCAGAGCGCAGCGAGCAGCCGGTGAGTGAAGCCGGTGAGGGGCACTGGTGCCGGGAAGCGGCGGCGCCGGGATGCGGGCGCGGCGGCGGAGCCGAACAAAGCCGTGGGGGTGGGGCTGGACCAAGCTGTGGCTCTCCAGGGCCGCGTGGCCGCCAGCATTTGTCCCGGAGGAAGTCGGCAGCGGGGAGCAGGAGGGGAGCCGCGTTTGGCCGGGGCGGGCCGGGCTGAGCGCGCCGTTCCCCCGTCTGCCCGCCGGGCTCCCGGCCCCGCAGGCCCGGCGCTCGGGCGGTGCTGGGGCGGGTGAGCCCCGGCCTGGCCCTCGGGCCAGGCGGGAGAGAGCGCCCGCGGCTCCATCCCAGCGCCCGCCGTGCCATCCCAGCGCCCGCGGCGCCATCCCAGCGCCCGCCGTGCCCATCCCAGCGCCCGCGGTGCCCATCCCAGCGCCCGCGGTGCCCATCCCAGCGCCCGCGGTGCCCATCCCAGCGCCCGCGGCTCCATCCCAGCGCCCGCCGTGCCCATCCCAGCGCCCGCCGTGCCCATCCCAGCGCCCGCCGTGCCCATCCCAGCGCCCGCGGCTCCATCTCAGCCCCCGCCGCTTCCCCTGCCCGGGGGCAGAGCCCGGGCCTCCGGTGTTAGCTTTCCAGAAGCTTAAGGTAGCGAGTTTGTTCCCTTTCAGCCTGTCTTTGTGGGGACGCTGTAGAAACAGAGGGCAAAGAGAAGGGGAAAAAAAAGGCGCTGTAATTCTGAGCTGCTCTCTGGTGACCACTCGGTGGACCATTAACCGGAAACACGGGGTCAGAAGCTGTATTTGGATCTTCCGAAACAAAGCGTGTTAAACCTCGTCTGTACTGACGAAAAGCATGCCTGGGGTCCTGGCAGGCACTGTGGCTAACTTTTGGTAGCAGGCAACACGCCCTGACGTGTGTTGTGTCCTGCCTGTTCCCTGCTGGGCTGAAGGATAGGGCTGGCCATCTATCGTCTGTCTGTCTTTTACTCTGTAACTCAGAGCTCTCTCCTTCAGGTATCTGCTTGCCAGGGGGTAGGTTTCAAACTAGCACACCGTGCCCTTCATGTTAAGGAGCTGATATGGCTGTTGCTTATAGCAGTGTGATTATATATATATATATATATAGATGTGATTAATAGCTACAGGTAAATTAATAACTCCAAGGTCCCTTCTACACTTGGAGTAATTTCAGCTGATTTTACAGCTTCATGCTGAGTACCTAAAAGTCTGTTTGTTGTGGAAGATCAAAATGCTGGCCCAGTGTCAGGACTTTCCAGCAACTACATCCAGACCAGAAGCAATGGGAAAAGCTGTCTCAGTATGGGCCTGCTTCCATCTTTGGTAGCAGTATTTAGCAAGGGGATAGTGTCTCACAGAAAATGTAATGCTGTATTTCAGATGTTTTTTGTTTTTTCATATAGTCTGCTTCTGTATCTTCCTTCTCTTATTAGTCAGATAATTATTGTTTAGCATTATACATTGTAGAGGGGAAGATTCTTAATTTGCATGTCTGCATTAGTATCATGATATGTCATGTATATGTTTGTCTACAAAAAATACCTTCTTTAAATGCTTGACATTTTCTCTTGCATTCATGTGATGTAGAAAACTGCCCTTTTCCTATCTTTAAGAAGATGTTTTACATTGCTGATGTCTGTTTTGAGCATGTTTTAGCAGTGCTATACTCATTGCTTTGTAGCAACAGATATATTCTGAACATGTGTTGTTTCCTGTGGTTTGCATATTTCAGGATCCAGTTGGTAACTAAAGACAGTTTAGTTATTTGCTTTCTCCCATCTCGGAAGCTTTGGTATTTTTATCACTATATATTTTTATCACATTTCTGTTGTTCTCATTTCAAAGAAATATTGCTTTAAAAAGAAAAAACTGATGGTTTTTATGGCCACCATAAGTAACCATGTGGTAACACATGATGATGTGAATTAATTTTCTTTAGGTCCAGGTGGAATAAGTAAATCCAGGCTGCAATGGAGTAAAAAGTTGTTTTATTTATTGTTTTCCTGTCAAAAGAAAAGTATTGGAATAACTACATTTATGTAGGGGAAAAAATCTTTTTGCTCTTATTGCTGTACAGAGATGAATTGGTCATTTCTTGGTAGCTTGCAGAACATAGCTTTGAACCTTTTTGAGACACTTTATTTCTTATTACCTAGTATATGTAAAGATCATTGTAGCATCACCTTTATGTTTGCTGTCTCTGTATCATGTTTTTTTTTAATTGTATTTTTTTTCAGACTCACTATTATAAAATAAGCTTCCTAAAATCTACAGAATATATTTTGCTAGATTATAAAAATGCTATTGCTCTTTTTAATAACTTGTTTATATTTCCTTACACTTGAAACCTCGTTTTACCTAAGCTTTCAGAGAAAATATCAAAGAGCAGCATAAAAATTTGTAATAAATTTTTAAAGCACTGCAATGATTTCTTCCCCCCACACCTCCCCTCACCAGGATGAGATCATCCTCCACAGGGAAATGCATGGCATCACTGCATTACCTAAAGCAAGATGAGGCAATTCTTACTGGCCTGTTAGAATCAGCAGCATCCTCCAGAGAGCATTGCTGTGACCCTGCTTCAGAGCACAAAATGCCCTGCTGATTCAGGCACGCATTTGAGTGCCTAGGGTGTCTTTTGTTCTTTAAAGAAGTGCAGGTGACCTGGTGCCTGAGGGTGCTCAGGAACTGATGGATATTAAAAGTGAGTTATGGATTCTGTTCTGAAGAGAAACTATGCACATTTCAAATACTTAACGTGTTATAACCAGTTTTTCTAGATAATCCCTATAGCTTCTGTAAAGTCTCTGAGACAAGCTCCAGTTGTGATGGAGTGCAGGAAGCTCTAACACTTCACTGAACAACTGTAACTGTAGACTCTGAACTAGGCTTGCAGAGTAAGAAGTATTTTTATGATACAAGTTGTGATTTAAATTTTTCAGAAAGAAACTAATATAATTGATTGGAATTGTAGGTTTTGCTAGCTACTTCTTCCAGTTTCATTGTTTCTTTGATGCTGGATCAAGAACAGCAGTTTTACAGCTTTAAAATTGAAGGTTGCTAAAGGGTCAAGGAGATAAGTTTTATTTTAAGGTCACTTAAATGTTGGAGATCTCTCTTAGTGTTTGCATCGTGCCTTTACATTTACGTTGTAAGCAGCATTCAGTGCTCGCAGGGGTCTGCAGTTTGCTTAGTTAAGGCTGCTGCTGTTCAGCAGTTTGGTTGGAGCACCTTGAAATGGACACGGTCTATGCCTTTATTAGTGTTCAGCTCTTCATTAAAAAGTCAGCTCGGCAGGGGGGTGTTGTAGCTTTTCCGGTAGCCGAAGGGTGAGAAGGTGACAGTCTGTCCCTGGAGTCTCCGAGGCACGCTGGCAGCCGGAGGTGCAGAGGTGTCCAGTCTGTATCTGCAGTCCCAGCAGACCGTCCTCTCCTTTCCTCCTGGCACACTGGTAGCCCAAGGCTGGGGGGATGTGCAGAGCCTGCTGCCGAGATCCAGCAGCAGCTATCCCTCTCCTTCCCTCCTGGTAACACCAGGAAGAGTGTCTGATTCCTTGTGCCTGCTTCCCACAGCCCAGTCCAATCTGGTCCTCTGCAGGGTATAGTGACAGGTCAAACACAGACTAGGGATGGGGTTCCCTTTTCCCCAACCAGCATACCCATCCAGCCCCCTCCACTGTGCCCCTCTTTTTCATTTTGGGGTGTTTTTCATCCTCAACCCCCCCCCCCCCATGATTCCACTGGATTATTTCTGGATTATTTTGCATCCCGGTCCTAGTGTGGGTGGGGTTGTAGGTGATTCCCAGGAGCAATTGGCTAATTAACATTTCAATGTCAGTACTTAGTTTGAGCCAAGTGTCCCAGCCAGGCTGTTTTGTTCATAACACACCTGATATGAACCTGGGAGAGCCTAATAAGCCACTTCCCTCCCTCGAGATTCCAAGCGTTCATCTGTTAGCCAGAGAGCTCTAGCTTTCCCTGTGCTTCGGCTGAGTCTTTCTTCAAGTAGCTCTTGGTAGGTGGCTCATCTGATATACAGGAGCTGGCCACAGCTTATGGAGGCACATATTTACTAGTTTACACTCTCTCCTTCATGGACTTGGAGCACAGGCACTGCAGAACTTCACAGGGCCAAGCAGCTGGGATGAGCACTTGGGGTTTAGCAGAAGTTGATTTCTGTGCTGACATGGCTACATTGCTGTCAGTGCACCTGCTAGTTGGTTTTGATAATAGAGTTGGCACATGATGCTGTGCTTTTTTTATATCATGTGGCTATTTATTACTATTGAGAGACAAAGAACAGATGAAGGAAGTTAACCATTTCCCTGTCTCTCTTATGAATCCCAGCCACACTGAAGGGTTTGGGTTGAGCTCATGCACCTAGTTCTTCTCCAGAAGGGAGAGTATGAGTGGCACCAGAATGGTAGGTCAGTCTGCTTGGATGTTTTCCTACAAATTTTGCTCAGGCTGAGAGCTCGGGAAAGCTGAGAGCCAAACCCAAAGATTTTGTAGTAGGGATGGCTGAAAAGACATAGAAACTCCTTAAGCTGGACTGTGCTGGAGCAGAACTTCCTTGTCAATAAAAGCTGTGCTTTCCAGTTGCTGGGGATCAGAAGCTCTGCTCTTCAGTTAGGGCTGGGTGCACACACCAGTTGTCACTGTAGACTAGACTTTGCTGGCAGTGCTAATGTTCCCTGCTCCCTAGAGCATAGGGTTGGATCACTGTCATGCCATAGTCAGAGGTACTTGAATTGCCCTTGGGAGTTGCTTGCCTTTTTTTTCCCACAAGGTACTTTTAATGAATTAGGCTTCGGAGTTTAGATGAATGAATACAGATCAAGATGCTAGGCAGTCAAGTTCAGCATTGTAGATTTAGTTCCAACCTTATGATACTGCCTTTAAAGTAAATTTCTAAAATAAAAATTTGATTTTCAGGAAAATTGCTGTTTGCTGCATTACATAATACAGTTGTCAAGTCAGGAATAATTTGGTGAAGAAGAAGATTTAATTACATCAGTGCTCTGAAATAATATTCCGAGTAAAATTGAAGATCTTTTGAAGCCACTAAAAATGTAAGTAAATGTCTTCCTGGAATGAAGTTAGGAAAGAAGGTTATACATAACCAAATTAGTGCTTCTGATGCATCAGTAATTGTTGCCACAAAAATGGGTGTTTGTGTTGTACTAACAAGAGTAGAGATACAAAGCTGATAATAATAATATCATGATGTAAGATGGCAAATATAATTTTCTCCAAAGAACTTGAGCCTTAAATAAGAATTGTCATCATATCTGGCCAGCCAATCTTGCTACTTGGTCTGGTTACTTATACCTTCTTATTTACCATAAATATATCTGCTAAAGTAAGTTTTTGCAAAGTTCTTTCCTTGTAGTGCCTTGTTTGACCTTCTTGAGGTCCCAGCACTTCTAAGCATTTATTACTTTGTCCTGTCTGGTGGTTTAAATTTATGATGCATAATTTTCTGAATAGTTTTCAGAAACTTGAGTTTAAGGTAACTTTTGGTAGTATGTTACATGAATATATACAAAGTAACCAAGGAGGAGGTTTAATGCTTTTAAAATTATTTCTGATTTGGTATCCATTATAATTTATTGACCTGTGTTCTCATAAAAGTAAATAGCCCACAGCATAGAGTTCATTTCATCAACTGATTTAAGTTCTGTTGTTGTGGTTTTATTTCACTACTATTGCAATTGCCTTCATATACAGCAGTTAGAATTGGACGCAGTGATGTTTCATTTGAAATGGAATGCAGAGAAATGACTCATTTCTCAAACTACTGTGACCTAATTTCTAATCTATGTTAGTCTTTGCACATATTTAATAACTTGTATTGATTTTGGTTCTTAATTTCTAGTGCATGTGGGGACATTGGAATATTTTAAAGATTTTTTGTTTCTCTCTTACCTTGCTTTTTGTAGGTCTTTTGAATGATTTGGTCATAGGGATCTGCAGACTTTTTCCCGGAGTCCTTTTAGAAAGCAATAATTAATGTTCTTCTTTCAAATATAAAATATGTGCAGGGATTACTCAGACAGCTTTTTTTTTTTTTTGCCTACTAATATCCTAGGCTAAAGTAGTTCTGTGAACTGTCATAATACTTCTCTTTTCTTGCATTTTCAAGCTGATACTTGAAAACAACAATGACAGACATAGGAGATGGAGCACATCTGGGGAAAGATCTGGCAGATGCAAAATCTATTCCAGGTTTTAAAGGGTAAGTGGGATACATTTGGTTTAAGTCTTCAATTTAAGTCTGGTCAGCAGTTTATGTCTAAGGGATTATATGTGCACAATCAATCCTTAATATCACTGAGCTAAGATTTTAAAGTTTAGCATGCTATCAATTACTTAGCAAGAAGCTGTTGTGGCAAGGGATCTCTCAGCCTCAAGGAGTAACTGAGAGAGGCATCCCATCTCGAGGGGAGATCCTGGTGTGCAGCCTGCTGTATCTGGAGTAAGACAAGTGACTTACATACTCGCATATGAGCCATATTTTGGGATGGTGCATGCTCAGCTAGCCCTTAGATGTTGAAAAAGACTTACAGCTCTTAGCTATTGTGTTAGCTGTCTCCCCAAAGTCCAGCTTCAACCAGATGTAGCCACCATGCTGGTGGCTATTGCTTAAGCAGAAAAGGAGCACATATCTGCCATATCTTTTTAGGTTTTGAATGTTTTCTTGTGGAAATTCAATGATAATAACTTCTTTTTAGAATTCAGAAAAGATTTGCTTTCTCAGAGCTAACCTTTCCCCCAGGTACATAGATTTCAAAAGATTATAGAAAAAGAGTCAAACTGATTTTTTGTTGACAGTAATTTGCATCCTTAAACCAGGTTTTCATAGTTTTCATAATAGTTCTGTGCAGAGGCATTACAACTTTAAATACAGTTCTTCCTTGATTCTTTTAATTTCCAGTTTTTTGCAAGTTTCACAGAAGATTATTACAAACACAACACTACCAGTTTCATTGGGCTTGCTGAAATGGTCTGTTGTTGTCATTTTTTTGTAAAAAAAATCAGAAATTTTGTCTGGTTTCTATGCAGAAAGAACCTACCTGCTAGCAAGTCTATGGACTCTGGAATTCTGCCAGACTACAGTTACAGAATGGATTATCCAGAGATGGGGGAATGTGTAATAATAAACAATAAGAACTTCCATAGATATACAGGTACCACTCACAAGTTTTTGACTTTTTCCTTTATTTAGATAAATTCGTGCTGTGTGTACTCTTCAAAGTTAAATACACAGACCAGTTTTGGTTGCGCTCTAAAATTAAGTCACGGGTGTGATTCACTTCAGTCCATTCTTCCAAATATGCATAGAGGGAACACATTAGGGTGTAGCAGTAATGAGGAGGAAAACTGATCAGCAGTACAAGTCTATTATAGTCTATTACAAGTCTACTAGTCATTATTTCTATTTAGCAAATGAAATTCTTCTTATGTCCTTAAATAGATAAATAGATATAAAAATAAGATGCAGATAAATCTTCAATACAGGTACAGAGGGTTGGGATGGCATGCCCATGTAACAATGCAATGTTGTCTCTGCAACAGTGAATCTGGAATAATGGAGTATTTCAGACTGGTACAACTATAAACAAGAAAAAGAATTTGTCTCAATCAGACCATGCCATCTATATAATATAAAAAAATTAGCACATTTCTCTTCTGTACAGGGATGTCGCCCCGTTCAGGTACAGATGCGGATGCTGCAAGTGTCAGAGAAGTTTTTATGAAGTTGGGATATAAAATAAAGATTAACAATGATCTTTCATGTGAGGGCATTTTTAATTTATTGAAAAATGGTAAGTTATGTGTGTGCATTAAGTCAACCACTGTTTCCAAATACATCTCTAGCCCTCACATCTCTTCTTTCTGGTTCCTTTAGATGATATTTCACACTTTGTGGTGATTTATTGCTAAGGATGAAATGTACTTCATAGTTTCTATGTTTATTAATCTTAGCTGTCTCTCTGTCTGCCATGACTGTTGTCTCCATATCCTTTCTCATCTTCTAAAGAAGGATGGAAAAAAGGCTGAAACTTAAATGCAGACTGATTTATATTCTGACCCTGGGATCACTGAAGCTCTGTGAGTTGGAAAGAAAACTGCTAGATTGGGTAGAGGGGTTCTGTGCTTAATGCTTAGTGGTGTGTCCCGAAGAGAGGTTCTGACTGAGGGACCAGAAGCGCAGGTGTGTGGACAGAATTTTCTTTTGGATAAACAACTCAAGTTTTGTTTAACTTGTGAATCAAAACACCCTTCTTTCAAGTGAAAGCTTTATATTACTGTGTCAGTCCTGCTTTCTTTAGACTTGGCTACATCTAGACCTGTACACTAAATGGTGCCTGGAGGTATCAGTAGCCCTGGAACACCGGCCATTCTAGTTAAGTGTTGGAAGGTTCTCTGCCATGGCTGGGCCTCATGCCCACCAGTGCTCTCCCAGACTGTTCCAGGTCATACTTAAACAGTAAAAGTGTTCCAGTGGTTATTCCCAACAGCAGTTAGCCTGCAGCAATCCTGGTCTTGGTTTTTGTGTTTGGTTTTGTTTGGGTTTTGTTGTTTGGGATTGTTTGGTTGGTTTTTTAATGAAAGTGTTTGCTAACATAGATGTAGGTCTTTAGTACCAGTTAATATTTATGCCATAAAATGTTCCCAGACATGGTTAATTCATTAGTATTGTTGCAGCTGGTCTATTGACAATAGCTGAAAATGTGACTCTTCTAAATGCAGTGCTTGTCCATAAATTGTAGAAATGCCTGAATGTACATCACTTGAGTAAAGCTGAAACAATTAATTTCTTCCAGAACAGAAATTTAGTATTTTGTTAAGCACAAAACAGTAAGACTTCAGATTTAGGGACTCTTACTATTTTTCATCTACAAACTCTTGCATCTTTTTGAGTTACCACTCATCATTTCTTTTGGATCCTTTCTTCTAACCTTGTTTGTATTTTTCATAAATTTGAACAAGTCATCCATTCTTTCCCAAAACCCAGGTTATTCCATCAGTCCAATCCCAGATCATGAGACTGACCATTATTGCATGAATGATGTGTATCATTCCAACTTTAAGACACTGTGGAAATACCCTTTTTGGCTCCTTACAGTATTCCTGGGCTAGCTCTGTGGCTGTGTCTTGCAATGGGTAGGGTTAGCCCTTAATTTGGGGTTGCCTGTGCCCAAAGTAGGTAGGCTTCTTGTGTTCCGAAGTGAAAACTCTTTGGAGGTTTCTAAACATACAAATTAGTTCTTAAAGACTTCTGTAACCTAGGAAGGATCAAATGTTCCAAATTTTTAGAGAGTACAGGAAGTTAAGATAATTCTCCTTTTTCTCTGAAGTTTCTGAAGAAGATCACAGCAAGCGAAGCAGTTTTGTTTGCGTGTTGCTAAGCCACGGCGACGAAGGATTGATCTATGGTACAGATGGGCCTCTTGAACTGAAAGCACTGACAAGCCTTTTCAGAGGTGACAGGTGCAGAAGTTTAGCAGGAAAACCCAAGCTCTTTTTCATTCAGGTGATGTACAGCTGAACAATGACCATCAGATAGTTAAAAAAAATACCATTTTCCACTAATTATTAGTGCAAAAAGTTAATCCTAATAGGTAATCTAAAATAGATTTGAATATAATTATTTTCAGAGTAAGATTCTCTTCAGATCAAAAGTGGCATAATTTTCCCTGTTACATAGGCTGTATTTATAACAACTGATGCTGCATTAGTTCTATGTATTAAATAAAATCTTAGGTAATATTTTAATGAGTTTCTGAGTGCACTTTTGAATGAATATCTATCTTACCCAAATTGTGTAATTGATTTAAACAAATGTTACTACTTTTTTTCTGAGTCTGTTGAATGGAAATGTGACACATAAATTCTTGCTATTTTTGCAGTTTTTTAATCATGATATTATAATTTTAAAAACACAAAATATCAATGTTTTTATAATGATCACTGCCTTTTCTATTTTAATATTATTTCCCATTCTTCTTTCTACCAAACAGGCTTGTAGAGGGACAGAATTAGATTCCGGTATTGAGACAGACAGTGGATCAGAAGAAACAATGTGTCAGAAAATACCTGTAGAGGCAGACTTCCTGTATGCCTATTCTACAGCTCCAGGTGAGGGACTGCATCCTTGTCAGCCTGTACTCATGCTATAAATTACAACTTGGAGTTGGACCCAGTCAGGGGGTGCTGTCACTTGTATGGAATGTCCCTTTGGTCAGTTTGCATCAGCTGCCCTAGTTGTGTCCCCTCGCAGCATCTTGCCCTGTCCCAGCTCCTTCTGAGAGAGGCAGCACTGCTCAGCAGTAGTCAAAGCACTGGGTGTTATGAACTCCTGCTCAGCCAGACCCAATACACTCTTTCATGGAAATAAATATTTACTTCATTCAATCACTTCATTTAAAATTTGACTTGATTTCTTATGGAAGTAGTTGGTATTCTCAGTTCCTACAAAACCCCTACCAAACCCTGAATATATCCTTCTCACTAGCAAACCCTCAAATGTTCCTCTGCTGGAAATTCAGTTAATTTGAGTTGTGCAAATAATTTACAGCAAGAGGAAAGTATATTATTCTGAGAGAACAAAACAATCAGATATGCAGAACTGGATGATAAGTACCAGCATATTATTATATTAAGCAAAATTGATAATGGCAAAGCCCTTCATGTGTCTTATTTCCACTTAGCAGAAGTAGGTTCAGTATTTAATTCTGCACATAATGACACAATAAACCATTTTCCATCTATACTGTCACCTCTTCTTTGTATTTGTGTACCCCATGAAAATTAGTAAGTGATTGATGACTAAGATTCCTGCAGCAGAAGATAATTTTCCTGACATTTGATTTTCTTCCTCTTAAGTTTTTTTAGATTATAAAAGATAAAAAATTTTGAATTGGAATTTGTGGAGATTATATAATCTACATGTTGTTGGTTCATGGCTTTGAGTTGTTATTTTAAAACATTGATTGCTATTGGAAAGAATGCTTTGTTCTCCTAATTGCTGACCTGTCCTGTATCAAAGGCTGCTCCATCTGATCACTTTGACATTGCTCTCTTCCACAGGCTATTACTCCTGGAGGAATTCAGCTGAAGGCTCGTGGTTTATTCAGTCACTGTGTAAAATGCTGAAGGAACACGCAAGGAAACTTGAACTCATGCAGATTTTAACGCGTGTCAATCGCAGAGTAGCAGAGTATGAATCCTGCTCAACTCGACAGGATTTTAATGCAAAGAAGCAGATTCCATGTATTGTCTCTATGCTCACCAAAGAATTTTATTTCCCTTCTTAAAATATTTTTTCTGCATTTTTATCTGCATTTTATATGCAATATTAGTTCAAAATACCACTTTTAAATCTGAATAACTGTTCACTACTGTTTGTGGCACAATGAAGTGTCTCAAAGTTAGATATATGTCTGTTGTTAGAGGTAAAACATACTATGTTTGTGTAGAAATGCAAAAAAGCTGAGTAGCTGAAGCAGATTTGAAAGCAGTGCTCTGAGTATTGCAAAAAATTGGGAAGGGGAGACCGAAGAAAGATCAAATTGTTTATTGGAGATATTTGGTGCTACATTTCACTTTGCTGAAGGGGCAGAGAAAAGAAACAGAGCTTGTAAATAGTTTGGTTTCATATCTTACAAAGAAGATTAAGAATGCCATTGATGGTAATATGATAGTAGTGTTGTCATACATTTCTTCTTAATTCAAGTTCTTAAAGTTTAGGTTATAAATTAACCTAAACTATTTTTACACTTTTGGGCATAAACTGTGGAAAAAGGACATTTCATATTTTTGCATACAATTACGAAGCATGTTTAGAGTACAGTCAATTTTTCCTGATAATTTGTGATAGTTTACTAACTTTGTGTATGGAATATTACACAAAACAATTATATCAACATGGTGGCTGTTTCAAAAGAAATTTTGTATTCTGACCTTGAAGCTGAGTGCCCAAGGGACCAGTCTTCCAAAATGTCTTTTTCTGCAGCTCCCTAAGGGCAGAGCGGTTGGGGCATATTTGGGGCTATAAGAACCAGGGCAAAAGGAAGTCTGCATTCTTAACAGTCTGCTTTCCTCTTTTATGCCTTAAATAAGAATGGGTTGGCTCTGTGCGTGGCACAAGAAATCTGTGTGAAAACCTAGATTTGTGATACTGGAGAAATTTCACTTCATAATGCTCATTCCATGCTTAACAAATAGTAAATTTCTATCTCGACTCTGAATTTTGTGAGACAGGCTTTTACAAAATTGAAAAACATTTTTGCTGATATTTCAACTTGCATCAGTCTTTAAGATCTGTGGAAGACAGAATATTAAATTATTATAGGTGCTTGTAAAACAAGATTTGCAACTCTTAAAACTCTGTAGCAAAAACAATGTTGGCAAATTGATATTCACTTCCACAAAATGAACAAAGTATTTTGTACTTGTTTTTTAAAATTAAATACTGTTTCCTGGATTGTATCATGCTTTTCTATGTGTGTTATTTGCTTAGGATCTGGTAGCTTTTGCAGATTAATTTTAACTTTAATTCTATCATTTTTTCCTCAAATTACTATTGTCCTTTCTCCCCCATCAGCCTTGCCACCTGAAACAGAAAAGAATCTACTTTAAAGCTTTGTATGCCATTGTATAGCCAGGTAGTAGAGTAGTGACTAAGACATGGGAAATGCAGGTTCAAAAGGGATGTAGAGGAGGCAGTTTTAAAGATTGTAAATGAGTTCCCTGGTGATTGCCTGCTGGATAGGAGCAACACTGTCTCTCTCTTTTAGAAATGTTCTGTGAGAAAAGGTAGGTCTAGTTTAACTCCTTGAAATTTCACTTCTGGGCAGATTCTTGCCCATGCTCCTGTTGAAAAATTAAATAGGCCTCTTCTTCTTGTAGGTTGTGATTTACATCAAGCATTTGCAAGGTTACATGCTGTAAATTCCTACATGTCTTAATTCCTCTTTCCTTTAAAGGAAAATTACTGTACAGCTTTTCTAGTGGTCCTTCAAATAGAGTAAAACAAAACCAAAGCTGGGCTACAATGAGTAGCCAGTTGGAGAAATGATGCCTGCAGCCTTGAGATACACTCTGGCATATGTGGTGAAGGGATTTCCTGAGGTATGCCAAGAAATAGGTGCTGGAGGGATTACAGTGGGCATGATGGCCTGGTGATGGGGGGTGAGGGGTTCTCATTAATCTTACCTTAGCTCTGTAACTGACCAGATGGAAGAGGGAGTGATACTACATGTTCTACCCCAGGCATGACCACAGTCTTTGGAGTTTCTGTAACTCTCCATATCCCTCTTCTGTATATGAAGTGGCTGCACCACCCCACAGTTCATGATGACAGTAACAGGATACTTGACTACAGTCTCACTTTCACTTCTCCAAAAAGTATTTGAAATCTTCTATGGCAGAGGATGAGAATGTGACCACCATGGAGACAAGGTGATGGGCTTGTTCCTGTCTTCTCCCTAAAGCAGGGACATCTCTGGTAAGATTTCCACCTGCACCAGAGTATGCCTGGAAACACTTGTGTTTAGTGCTGTACTCTCAGATTATGTAGCTCTAGTGAATTTATCACTGGCAATCTAGCGATCTGTTAGATTGCCTGTTGCTCCAGTAAACTGCACTATTTGTTAACATGTGGTCATGAATGAGGCCAGGCTTAGAATGAAGCCCACGTTATGCATCTGAGATCTTACTGAACACAACCAGACTTACAGTGCTGAATTAGTTATAATCAGAAATTAAACCTAGCCCCATCCAGCCCCTCTGATCTCTGAGGACTGGTTGGAAAGCAAAGGAGTTTATTTTCTGTTGAATTTCTATACTCAAAGTACCAATCATTTATTAGAGCTAGGGCTTAGGAAATGAGGTACTCCCATCAAGTCTTCAGCCACTTGGAGCCACATTTTACTCCAAGTCAGTAGATTGCTGCACAATGCTGAGGAGGCATCTAGATACTTCTGAGGGATGGTGTTCCAGTCTGTAGGACTTGCTTGTAGAGGCAGAGCCTGTTGAAGAAGGCAGAGGAGAGGTGATAACATCCTTTTTTGCTATGTCTTACTTGTCTCTCCTATTTTTTTCATGTCTTTCCTAAATACTCTGTTTGTAATAATCTTTCATCTCACTGCCTCCTACTCAAATTCAACCTTTTTACTGGATCACATTTTTCTAATTATCTGTGAGCTCACTGACTCACCATCTCCTTGCCAAGCCAAATCAGGTGAAAGGCTGGGTGAAAACACTTCCATGAAAGTGAGTATAATACCCAGGTGGGAACAGTTCATCACTTCCACAAGGGAGATCTTTCATGCCAAGTGTGGCTGCAGTTTCAAGCTGAGCTGGAAAGCAAACAACTATTTTCACCTGAAGGTCTGTGACTACCTGGATCATTAAGTCCAGTTAAATCATGTCCAGAAGACTTTTAAGAAGTCTGATGTTAGTATTTTGCTGACTTGAAAAGCCAACAGAACCACAAACTTTTCAAAAAATCAATTAGGAAGTTAAAAAAAAGATGGCATATGAGATACCTACCTATTTTTACTGTTTTCTAGAAAACAAAACAAACAAAAAACCAAAGCAATAAAACCAGTGCCTTTTTTTTTTTAAATAAAAACTTATAATGTTAAGCAATGGAAGGAGGCTGAAACTGGGGAGTCAACTCGTGCTGTCTGGTTTACAGCAGGTCAGATATTCCCCTGTAGCTAAGCAAATCCTTATTTTGAATGCAGTCTGCCTTCTTCCTATAACAGTCTCTGAGAGTACCCATTTCAAGTACTAAAAGAGTCTGTTAAAAGAAAAAAGGCAAGTCAGACACTAATGATGGTAAGTCCCATGGAAACAGTCTTTCCTTGAGAACAAAATCCACACTTTTAGTAGTCTGCTCCATAAGAAAACCCATAGAATTTACTTAAAATACAAATCTGAGGTCGCTCAGTCTAGGGAAGAAATGGCTCCTGGGAGACCTTAGGGCAGCATGTCAGTATCTAAAGAGTTTTTAGCAGGGCTTGCTGCAATAGGACAAGGGATTATGGTTTTAAACTAAAAGAGGGTAGATTCAAACTAAATTTGAAGAAGTTCTTTTATGATGAGGGTGGTGAAACACAGGAACAGGTTGCCCAGTGAATGCCCTATCCCTGGAAATGCTGAAGGTTGGGTTGGACAGGATCTGAGCAACCTGGTCTAGTGGAAGGTACCCCTGCTTGCTGCAGAAGCAGTGGACTAGATGGTCTTTAAAGGTCCCTTCCAACACAAATCATTCTTAGCTTCTATGATGATAAGCTTATTTACATGTACTGTGTCTCCTTTTATGCATGATGCATTGCTCTTGAAAGTTTATATGGTTTCTCCCTAAATTTTAAACTGCTTTACTATACATTGACTGGATTATATACAGTCACATGCAATTCATATTTTTAACTATAATATTAGTTAGTTTTTGTTAAAGCCAGGCAGTATGCATATGAAATCACATCTAGTGATTAGAAATACTAACAGTATGAATAATAACAGCTAAATTAAGACTTGTCACTTCATATTCTATGAGGAGTGGTACTCATTACCAGGAAAAACAACCTTTCAGCTGTGTATTTTCTCCTGCTCTTGATAGCAGATAGCAGAACAGTCACGGAACTCTGGCTTTCTGAGGGACCAGGATCAGAGGTAAACTACTGCTTCATCACCACCGGGTGTCACTGCAGATAGCACAATAGTCTCCAAAGCTCACATTAATGAGCATGCACAATGAAATCCAAAGGCCTGCTGAATGAAGCAACGCTTTCACAGCTGTCACTGGTTGTTTGCTGTCAGCCTGTGTGTTTATTGCATCCTGGGACTTGCATCCCAAAGTATGTGAGAGCATCGTATTGCCGCTTCCCAAGAAAGCCACACTGTCTTATTGCATATCAAAGTAAACAAGAATTGACTGATTTTGAGGAAAAAAGCGTTGTCTTTGCTGCCCTAGGCTTACACAGAGAATACTTCCAACTATGGAGCATGTCCCCCTGCAGATACTTTTCATACCGCAGATAGTCCTGTTACATTTAATTCAAAAATCCACAGTGCTCCCACAAAATAGGTTCTGCTATTTCTGTGGCAATGGTCTTCAAACAAGACTGGTGCAATAGCTTGCTTTGCCTGCATCATAACAGTCAATTAGTCGAAAAAGAGAGAACAAAACCTTGTAAACTCTTAATTTTATGTCTTCAAATCAAATTCTGAAGTTCAGATTCTCCCACATAATCACAAACCAAAAAATCAGGACCTGTCTTCTTCTAAGAAATGAAGCAATTCTTTTCTTCCAAGAGACCAAGATGTTCTGTCACAAAGACAGTTGCATAATTAAAGTGTCTCAAAAGAAAACAAGATGCTCAGTAGTCATTTTCCAAAAGTGCTTTTGCTTAGTGTTTGCAGGCAAGATTTGGCATCAGGTTACACAGCTCACAGTGCTACCCCCACTGTCAAAGGACTGGCAATGATGCTCTTCCTTTGCTGCTGAGCACAAGACCAGAATATTTCTGTCGAGTTGAACATGGTGAGTTTTACAGGGACTTACTTGATAAAATTCCATAGGATGGAGTGTTAGAAGACCAACCTAGATGATCTAATAGGTCCTCCTGGTTTCAATTTGTATACAGAAAAGTACTGTGCAAATCTGTCTCATTACCTCTGAAGGACGACCAGTAACAGGTTTTCCAGAATATGCATAAAGCAGTAGTAATATTGTCTGAGTGGTTTGAGAGTATCTGATGTACCAACCACAGTACTTCATGACCATTAAAAATTGTTGGTTCTATTTATTTAACTACAAGACCTTTACAAAGAGTAGTGGAAAGAGCCATCACTGTGCAATTTACCAACATCTGCATAAAAACATGATTAATAGTATAAACACCAACAGGGTGATTTAAATTTGCAAGATCCTTCTTAACATATGCAAGCATTTCCTCTTTCTATTTCTGAACACAGAACATTTTGTGTTCCTTTTATTCCATTCAGCTAAAAGCCACTTCCTCAAATGCACAGCCCATACCTCTCCTGCATGATGCAATGCAAAAAGGCTGGTTGAAAGCAGGAGGAACCTTCTCTGCATAGAGTGCTTTTCCTGATGAGCCTCTTCACTCTTCTTTGCCTCCTCATCCTCAGCTGGCTCCCTGTGCCCAGCACACTCTCACCTCGCCTCAGCTGAGGCTGTGAGTTTTCTGGATGCAGGATGACCTTTAGGTGATGGGGATGCTGTGGCTGCAGAAGGTCCTGAGCCTGGACATGCACTCAGGAGACTGTGGCTTCCCACCTGACATGTGGTCCCATTGCCCAGACTGCTGGTAAGACTGGTGACTCCACAGGTATTGCTTTCTTTATTCAGCCTGCCTGTTATTAAGACCTCAGGAAGCCAATAAAAAACCCCAAGTGGGCTTTAATCTCTGCTCTTCAGGCTTGACATTTAAAGCCAAGAGTCCATAGCTCTTGGT